TCCCCACTTCAACCTGGGCAGATTCCAGGGGAGATCAGCCCTCATGTTTCTCCTCTTTCAGACAACAACATGCAGTGCCTAATGCCTGTGCCATTTTTCCTTTTCACCAAGTGCCAAGGGGCGGATTCATCACAGAAAATGCATTAGTCTGAGACAGGAGTAAACAGCTTGCATCAATGCTGCAGCATTTCCTTTCTAGTAGTGGGAGTTGAGAGTGGGAGTTAGGCATTCCTGATGGACCGTGGTACACCAGGTGCTTGTGTAAGTGGTGTTCAACATGAGAGAAACGATCTTGTCCATGACAGTAGAGAAATGTGGGACTTAAGACCAGTGCAGCTAACTCAAAGACATGTAAAAACAGACTGGGCTGGAGGTAGATAACTGCTCGGGAGGTCAGAATGGAGGGTGCTAAAAATACAGCCACCAGTTATCCTTCTGCCATATTTCCTAAATCCTCTGGAGAAAAGGAAGTCTTTCTGTGGCTTAGATGTGGGAAATAGTAGTCAGGAAATCTGGAAGCTACAGCAACCACAGACATTGGGTTCATCTCAGGCACAAAAAGCAACATCCTTAATTCGTTACTAGGGATCCAGTGCCTCCTCTTGACCCCACTGAAGTCACTGAAAAAGCACCCATTGATTTGCTCAGCAGCAGCAGGCTCCACATTCATATTTTGCAACAAATTGTTCCCTGGGGATATTGTTTGCATCCTCTATTGCCCTCCCCTCATTCCTCCTCCCAACCCATCCATGTTTACCCTGGCCCTACTTCTTCAAGACGCTGTTTTGTGCCAGGACATGCATCTTGCTTTGATTGACCTTGGAGTCACTGAAAGGAGACTGGTTAGCAGGGTTACCAAGGCTGTGCCCCCCAACTCTCATGAGTGCAAAGATGCCAGGGTCCAGATTCTGTTTGATGATTTCATTTGATAGCTAATTAATGGCCTCCCCTTGTTTCCATGGCAACCCCATGCTTTGTGCTTAGCCTTGAACCAAATGGGCATTCTGTACACTTCCACTTTCTTAGCATCAGCATATTAATCGGACGTGCTGGCATTATTTACTTGCTGCCACACTGAGCTGGTAACATTGTAATTGAATTGGACTGGGGGGAAATTGCAGAGTAAGTTCAGGGTTCCCCTCCCCTGGTGTGGGCGCAGTGGGCCACAGAGAGCTCTTGTCACCCCCATCTTCCATTATTAGAGGAAGGGGTGTTTGTAACAAAGGCCCATCAAACTTATTTCCAACAATGCTCTGCCATTTGGAAGAGATGTTTTTTCTTGTGTTTTTACATAGTATTTTTCAGTTATATCATTATTCCAATCCCTAATTTAAACCAAGGAAAGACAAAGCCAGAGGGCCTGTCTTTTGATGGACACTGATGCACATCATTGCATTAGCTGAAGGCAAGGGACCAGGTGTGGCCTGAAAGCTTATTCCATGATTCCCTGCTGTAAATGGACAGGTAGTTGGGTTTGGACTTATATCAGTGTCTCAGGCATTCGGTCAACTAGTGTTTTAAGTATGTCAAAGAAGTCAGAGAAGAAAAACTATAGTTCTTTCTGGTCTTAAACTTTATAAAACTCTGAAGTTAGGTGCTTTAAGTTTTGGGAACCATCTGAACTTTCTCTAATTCTTCTCCATTAGTCATCCCACCACCTTCAGCTTTATAACATAATGACCCTTGTTTTGGCCAAAGAGTGGGTGCTGAACATCAATCTCACTAAAGCCTATCAATATTGCCATGAATAAAGATTCACATCCCTCTAGAGGAGATGGAAGCCTCTATAACTTTCACAGCCTGCAAAACAAAGAGCCGCAGTCTGGGTGAGTACAATTTTCCACCCCTCATGTTCAGGACCAGGCTGTTACAGGTCCTTAATGGAGGGGATGAAACGGAGTTGTGAAAGCAGAATGCAAACCGCTGCACACAGTATGTGCACATATCCCATTCACAGCATGACATCTTTGCTGCATAAACTGGATCTGCTTGTTTCTTTCCCAGTTGCACTTGGAGAACAGAACATGGTACACGCCATGTTTATTTGTCTTTTCTTTTTGGGAGTCTGACATTCAGTTTGAGCCCAGTATCTCAGCTGGGCTCCAGATAGCTGCATTTTTTTTTCCCCCTGAAGGACAAAATAATTGATCCACAACATTTTGTCTTCATATCATGATGCAATGATATCCTGTTGTGTTGCAACATCATCACACATTGACACTACATGAAGACTCCACATCACCGTGTTGATGTGACATTGCATATTGATGCTACGTCACAATATCATGAGCTCCTGAAATAAGTTTCAGACACAAAGAGGGTGTCTATACCAAACTTTTAACCCTAAAATTTCCCACTTTTGCTTTCTATGTGGGAAAGCAAATCATCTCCAGTGATAGTGATTGCTGAAATGTGAGTGAACTTCAGCCACTGACATTTTAACCCATCTGTTGTCAAAAGTTACTTGGGTGATTTCTTGACAACAGTTGGTTAAAATTCTGGTGGTTATTTGTGCCTTGTCTAAGCTAAAAGTCCCACTGTTACTGTCACCAGCTGAAGTCTAATGTAACTAAAGCCATTGAGTTTAACTATCCCATTAAGTCAAAGGGAGACACATGAATGTAGTTGATTAGATAAATGGCTCCTGTCCTGCAAACACAGGGCAGAACTTAGAAAATGTATCTGCTGATGACCCATAGGATTTATGGTTGGATGGCAATTCCTTTTGCTGCTGGTGACTAGAGCTGGACAAATAATTCATAAGAAATAATTCATCTGATGAATTTCATTCCTTTTTTGCATTAGCAAATTCACTATTTCAGATTATTCACCAAATAATTTCAGTGAATGCATAATGCATCTCAGTCTATTTGTTCAAGAACAGAGTTTGATATTTTAAAAAATATTAATATTGTCAGTAGTAATAGTAGTAGGTTTAAATGTCAGCTCTTTTGGTCAGTTGGGTATTTTACATGGCATAATTCTAGTCCCTGAATGAATGGATTTAACTCTTAGAAAAATGATTTTCCCTATGAATACTCATAACTACAAATTTGAAATTCACTTCCCATGAATATTCTCCAGTTTTAGCTTAAAACTAACTGTTTCCATGCATATTCCTGCCAGGGAATTTGCTTGCTGGAATGTTTACAGAAAGCCAACACAGAAGGGTCACAAATGCAAATAGCCCCCTAGGGCCAACAGCAGGGTTTGGACTTGAACTGTCAGCTTTACAACCAAGAGCCTCTAGCACTTGAACTTAAAAAGGATACACCCATTAAACAGTAACAGACCCAGAAACCTCTTATGTGGGCCAGCCACAAGAGGTGGACTAAAAGACCTCAAAGTCAGTTACACAAATACAAAATGGATTTGCTTAAACATTGGAATGGACAGATGGCCAAGGAAAAAAAAAAATTGCAATATTCACCCATCTCTACCAATGACACAAGCACTTCCCTTCACTTTGACTGATATTTGTGGTTTTCATTGTGGATCTGATGCATACACTCCTGAATGTGGAAGGCTCTTTTCTCTCTCCTGAAATCAGTTCAGTATAGCCTGACTATACCCTCCCTAACTAATTTATTCATGGATTTCTCTCAGTGAGCTTATGCCTTTAAAGGTATCTAATTCTTTCCTCTCACTGTTGATACACAGTAGAGATGGGCCTGAACCAGTCTTACACACTGAAATCTGAATCTAAATCCAGATTTAATTGCCCCAGTTGACTAGTGTCAAAAAAATAACAGCACAATATTTTTGGTTCCATAGGCATAGTTTCAAAAAATATCTAAGGAATTTAGGTGCATAAGTCTCAGCATTTAAACCCGAGGCTCTACAATAGCCTAGGTTTCTACAATGGCCAAACCAAAAACTTGGATCCATACAGTTTAAGAAGTCAACGTTCGGATCCAAGCTTGATCAAATCAGATCTGAATTTAGTGGTTTGGTTCAGGTTTCTCTCTGGTGACTAGTCCCAGCTTGTGGCCAGGGTAATGCTTCTTCTCTGAAAGCAGGCAGGCTGAAGAGTTGTATTTCTTGTTAGGATCTACACTTTGTCCTTAGCAGCTCTTTACTAAGTCCCAAACAAACTAAAGTTAAGAGAAACACAGCCCACTTATTGTCTTTAAGGGGGTTACCCTAAAGCTGGGCTGAGCAGGTAATGATACACTCTGCGGTAATTTAAAAAATACAACAAAAAATGTATTCATAGCATAAAACCTTTTGCAGGTTAGTTGCATTTTTGACCAAATTCTTCTTGTTCTGTGGTTACGAATTTGGGGAAAGTTGGCCAATTGTTTTCAGTGTTGTTAATTTTGTGGTCATTTTGATGACATTTTGCAACAATGCTTTTTTTTTTCTTTTGAGGCAAAGAGCCTTTTGTTTCAGGAGAACCTTGGATTTCATTTATAGTGAAAATGGAAAAAAACAATTGTTTTCCCCCCCCAAAAATAAAGTGAATAAACTTCCATGTATTTGGCTTTTCTTAAGGTGACAAAAGTTTTGTACCGTTCCAGTCTAACGCCTGCATTTTTCCAAAGTGACTAGTGATTTGGGGTTGCTTCAGTTTTTTGGGTCTTCTTGGAAAAGGGAGAAGATATGGTAAAACTCATAGGTTCAAAACCTCAACTAGAGCAACTGGCCATAGCTCTATTGCAGACAGTAGAGTTTGGAGTTAATGGGAGAACTTTAGCCAATGAACCATACCAGTTTGCACTAGCTGAGCATCTGTCCAATAGAGTTTTTGGTCACACAAGGAACTTCACTTTGAGAAATTGCTGAGCACCTACCTATAATAAAAGTCTCTTAAATTAGGCACCTAAAAATTGAAACATCCCAAATCTGAAATTTCTTTGGGAAAAGTAATCCTTCACACCTTCTTCTCTGTGCTTCTTACAGACAAAGCAAATATATGACTCTCAAAGGACTGCCATCACCTCCTTACCAGTGACAAAACTCATCACAGGATGGGTGAATAATTGAACATAAAGCTGGTATAAATCTCAACAGAAGAAATAGTTTTTATCTTTGACCATTTACTCCCACTAGGAATAATGGCAGTTCTTTTACATTTACATATAATTCTTTTTTTTTTTCTTTGTCTTGGCACCTGCATAGCAGAAATCTTTACAGTTCATTACAGAAATTTGTCCCCCTCTGCTCCTCCTTTTATATCTTTTTGCCGCACCTGAGGCCTAACAAGCAACACCCTTAAGGTCAAGAGAGAGTTAGGTGTGACCCTTTTATGACGGATTATAGAAATAACAAACATGCCTGACAGTTTTATACAGCTGCTAGAACGGGTTTAGTTTCCAACAAATGAAGAATTTCCTTTTTTTTTTTCCTCTTTTTTTTTGTATATTAATTACACGTTACAAATTTTGTTTTTCTTTTCCCTTTCTTTTTTTTCTTTTCTTTCTTTCTGTCTTTCTTTTCTTTTCTTTCCTTCCTTTAATTTTTCTTTCTTTCTTTTTTTCCATTTTTTTTTTTTTTTGTACAGCAAAAGGATCAGTCATTTGATGTGTCCACTGAAAAGTCCGGGTTAGCAGAGTTTGGCTGTCATCTGGTCCGACTGTTTGAGGATCTCGGTGTTGTAGAGATCCAGCGCGTGGTTCACACGGATGATCTCGCTGTTGGTCAGTTTCAGGCGGTGTTTGAGCATACAGGAGAACAGATCCAGCTGCGGCTTTCCTGGTGCCACGGGAGGCGCCAGTCTATTGATTCGGTCCCGAATATCCAGCAGCAAGAGCATGACGGAGGAGGAGGAATAGAACTGCCCACCTTGCGTGTACGACTGGTTGACCTGCTGTACGGCACTGCGCAGCAAGTCAGCATTAAAGCGCAAGCTGTAGCCATACACCTGCACGTCTGAGATCTTGATGTAGAACTGACGCTTGGTGGGGTCCGAGAGGTCCACAGGCCCTTGGCCGGTCTCATTGCGCAGCAGGGAGGGCAGCCGAGTCCGGCTGCGTAGGTAGATGTGGACAGTCTCGAAAAAGGTTTTCCACCGGTTGCCCAGGAGCAAGGTCCAGTTGTAGCACTGGCTGTTCTGGAGGCGGATTTTCTCCCAGCGTGGGTAGCCATACTCCCCAAAAGGCATGTTCCAGCCCTCTGAGTGACTCCCACTGAAGGGGTTGACATAGACAAAGAACATAGGGTCCAGGCTGCTGTTGCGCATTTGGCAGATGCGCATGGAGATGCCGATCACCATGTGGATGAAGTCCATCCGGTTCTTGTTGCTCTTCAAGGTGAGGGACATGCGCTTGCGCCACCTGGGGTCGAAGAAGGTGTCCAGGCGGATCTCGTTGCTGATAAAGGTGGTGTGCACGTACAGCCGGGAATCCATTTTCTGCAGCAGATATTTCAGCTCCAGATCCTGGAAGTCCAAGTCTGTCTCAAAGCTGATGAACTGCTCGCTGCGCTCCGAGTCCACGTTCTGCGGCTCGCAGCGACCCCTGTAAAGCTTATAGCCCTTGTTGCATGAACCACAGAGGGAGATGTTGGCTAGACTGCACATGGCGCAGCTGTTGTTGCCCCCGATGATGCAGGGAATGGGGCGCTGACACAGGCTGGTGCCCCCATGGCATACGCAGCTCCGTTGGCTCTCCAGGAAGGTCCCCCAGAACCCATTCTCATTGCAATAGAGCAAGGACTGGACGCGGGAGAGCCAGTCCTGTATCGTCCTGTAAATAGGAAAAGAAAGGCTTTAGCACCAAGCATAGAGACAGGCTCTCAGTTACAGGGGAAGCTGGAGGTCAGTTTGTTATTGCTCAAATATGCTTAGGTGTGTGTGAAGTTTGCAGAACCAGCCTGCTCTTATGCTCAGCATTTGATTCATCCTATTCCAGCCTCCTGCCAGAGTTTTAGAGTCACTGCTTGCTCCTTCACTGCAGAGGAAATGTCCTGCTAGGAAGCAACCATGGGGTATGCCCCATCTCTCACTTCACTGCTTTGCACTCTTCACGTCACGCAAAGGAAACACAGGCTTACACACCCTTTGGCCAGGGAGTCCAGCCATGTGGGGTGGCATGAGCTTGAGGGGGCAAGTCTCCGCTGAGAGTGGAGTTGACAAAACTAAAGCAGGGGGTTGCAAAGCGAGGTTACACAGGCTATTCCCACCTGGCAAGTGGTTCCTTGATGTTCACTACCAGCTGTTGCAGGTTATAACAACTCCTAGGCTGGGACTGAGCACTGAATCTGGAAATGCTCCCCAGCTCCATGAGAGCTTCTCTTTAAAAATACTTAACCTAGGATGTAATGATCTGAAACCCTCAGGATTCATGATCAGCTGACAGCATGTGGGTCAATCAAGTCTGGAAGAACATGGAGGCATGGGTATGTGATCCTTCTGGAATAAACTTCTACTTCTTGTTATAGGAGTACTCCTTTTAAGTGACTGCTGCTATAACCTCTATAATAATACCCTCACCATGTAACTAATTACTAGTACCCACAAGGAAGCCTTCTTTCTGACTATGCTAGATATCTACAATACCCCTCCATACATTTTACCCCTAATACCCCCCTTAATGGCTAACACTATTAGCCCATATATACAACACCCTGGCAATGTTACTGGCCACCCCTTCAAACCTCTGTACAGCATTTCTTTTCTAACCAGCCCTCCCCAGAAGTCCTTTTACTGCCTCCTCTCCCCACCAGCTAATGAATACTTCATTGTTTCCTCTGGGCAAAAACTTCTTGGTAGTACTGCAGTGAGAGGGCTGGCTAATGACAAATTAGGATTCAGTCCCTGTAGAACAGGAGGAGTGATTATGGACAGAGGCTCTCAGAGCTGGATTAGTGAAATTCATGGCACCTGCATAGCCTGACCTCCGAATAATCATTAAGCTGTGAGTTGTATCAAAGAAGGCATTAAATGAAGAACAGCAAGATGACTAGAGGAAGGGAGGGGAGGAGAGCAAGGGAGGGAGGGAGGGAGAGAGAAATAGAAGAGAAGAAATAAATAAGGAAACCGGGAAAGAAGAGGGAAAAATAGGATGAAGAGCTGGAGGGAGGGAGAGGTGAAAGGAAAACATGCAGGGAACAAGAACTTCTGAGAGAGAGAAAAATAAAACAGCCAAGAGGATGAGAGAGGGAGAGGGGCATGAAAAAGGAAAGTGGTGGGGAGGAAAGGAGAAGCCAGAGAGGAGAGGGAAGAGAGAAAACATAAAGAAATGCAGTAAGGACAGAGTGAGGAAAGAAAGTTGAATGAACAAGGAAATGCAGAGGGCTGGGAAGTGTGAAGGGATCATTAGCACATTCCTCACAGGGTTTGGAGCTGCCGGGGCCTCTCTGCCCCATTCACAGTGACGTGGAGGACTCCTGCAACTGAAAAGGGCCCAGAAAGGCCAGGGAGGTTGAGAACCAGGCACCAACTTCCATAAATATCAGGTGCAGACATAGACAGAGACAGCTCTGCCTGGGCCCTGGGAACAGTGCACAGGACACCTCCTGGTTAATAGGACAGCTTTGCTCTGCAGAGGAGGGGCAGGGGGGAGGAGGTAGCACAGTTTTACTGCAAAACAGGTTGCTGAAGGCAACAAGGAATTTCAAAATGATTCCCCTAGAATCTAATTCGCTTTCTGCTTGCGGGTGAATCTCAGCTCTTCTCTGCTGCAATGAAGGTATTTCCTCTCCAGCTGGAGCCCTGTGACTCCTGCCTGGAAAGCAAGACACTGAGTTAGGAAAGAAGTCAGCTTGCTGAAGTGCAGAAAACACTCTGCTCCCTGACCATCACATAGAGGGGTCACCTTCCTCTAAGGGGAAGCACAACTCAATGCTCCTGCTGTTCACAGGAATCTAAATATAAAGCTGCAGGATTATGAGCAGGTGCATGGGGGAAGGGGGAGAAAGAAACTCCCATCTGTCAAACCAGTTCTTGCCTGTATGGGTGAAAGGATCACTGGTGAAGCACGAGGCTTCTTAAAGTTTCTTCTCCCCATGCCGAGACTCAGTGACAACAACGTGAAATCGCAGCTTGCCGCAAATATAACAGCGCTTGTCTCTTAAAGAGATGTTCCAAGCTTCCACCTACACTGTAATTTTCACCATGACAAATATAGCAGGAAGGAAGGGTGGGCTGTAGGGATGAGGCATAGGGTTGGAAGTTGAGAGGCTTGGGTTCAATTCCTGCCCCTGTCATATAATCTGTCTCAGTTCCCTGTCCATACAGAGGGATATTCTTTCCCTAGCTTGCTCTGAGGCTACATGTTTTTGGGACAGGAATTGGTGCCCATTAAGTACTAAAGAGAGAAGATGGTGTGCTTTTGGCCTCAGCACTGAACTGTAGTAATGTCCCTGCGCGGTGCTATAGCTCTGCAAGACCTAAGGATAGGACAATCAAAGGAAAGAGGATACGTCACAGGTTTAACACTGAGCTCAGTACATGTTGGGACAAGACCGCAGGAGCTTGGTGGGGGTTGTGGGCATCCCCATGGATTCATGGAAATAGTGTCTCATTGGTAACTGTCTGACAGCAGCTTTGTGCTAGCTGGGCTGGAACAAAAGGATCACAGGGCAGCCATCAACATATTGCCAGGGAATTCTCGACTCTAAGGCGGGGACTCTGTGTCGGACACGCAGCTGGCCTCTGCAGCTCTGTACTCCCTTCTGCAGGAGTCCCTAAAGCAGGACAGGACCAGGCCGTAGCTGGAGTGGTCTCATACCTAGTGATTCTGTACTCTTGCGACTGTACTCTTACTCTTGCATCTTGTGCCAGATGCCTCCCTTCTGATGCTACACGAGTCTCGGCATGCAAGGAGGGAAAAATCTGACCTGTCACGATTTAAGGGTCACACTCAGTTTTGGAGACCTTTGTGCTTTGGTTGCAGGAACCAAACACACAACACCCTCCACATCCTTCACAACTGTTATTGCCTCCTGTCTTTGCTTCTTTGATCTTGCTGGGTCCTCCTTAATATTGCTATGCAGTGGTTAGCAATAATAATAGCACTAATAATAATAAGAGGGTGGAATGATTCTAGCATGTATGCGTGGCTAAAAGAATAACCTTTGCATGCTCTAGAAAAACAAATAAAACCATTTTCCCTTTGCTTCGACCCCACCTTGGGAGAACAACCAGCCTTCTTTTAATGCTATTTGTTTGGGGCCCTCATTCCCACTAGAGGTGACTGAAGCCATCCACAGGGAACTGCTAAGGACCATGTGGTTCACTCTTGATCCACCTGAGACCTATTACTATTATTATGTTCTCTTCTGATCTGCTCTAAGGGAGGGCAGTGGAATGACCCTTGCTGTGACAGCCCCCTCAGCCCTACAGAGCAGGCAGAAATGTGCCCATTGGGAGAAGAAGCTAATAGCAGTCTCTTACAAAGTCATAAAAGTGCAAGTAGCTGAATGAATTTGATCTGAGCATTAAAAGGAGAATGTTAACATGGAGAGAGGAATAAGAGGCTAAGGCTGAGTTCTGGTGACTCCCCAGCTCTAGCCTTTGCCACCAACAGACTACAAAAGTGCAGCTTGAGCTGCTAATACATGAACATCCAAGAGGAATTGAGAGGATGAAAGTCTATATCAGCACATGAACCATCCTATGCAACTGAATACTGTTTATGCAGCAGGCATAGGCTCACAGAGGTGAGGTCTGCTGCAAATTTGGGTAGCCAAGAGTGCAGATGCAGGTACACCTGGGTGCAATATGTACTCATAAATGTATACTAGTATGAGTAGATTACATGCAACATGCACACACACATATACACGCTCGCAAACTGCACATAGAGTTAAATAGCCATGCACAATCTCCGATGTAAATCATGGGTGCCTAGATGCAAAGATGCCTTAACAACTATCATCTGCATAGTCCCGAATATCAGGGACGAGTTTCAGCTCTGGCATAAGCAACAAGAACTCTACTCATTTTCTTACATCAGGGCTGAATTTAGCTTCAGATGTGCATTCATGCATAAAATGATTTCCTGTGTATGCAAATATATTTGCATGCTATTGTCCTGATTCTCTGCTCCGTTAGACTGAGCTGATACTGAGAGAATGCCATTGATTTCAGGAGAATTAGAGCAGTAGAGAGCTGGTGGAACTGAGTGCAGAATTGGGCCCTCCGTGTCTAGTTTCAAGCTTGCTTCAACCAGTATAAATGAGGAATAACTACACTGAAGTCAGTGTAGTTAGACTACTTTTACACACCCTATGTGGGTGTGTGAAATGGCAGGGGGTGGATGTTTGTTGCATGTGACCATGCATATTACAAAAGCAAATCTACATGGGCATTTGTGTGGGCTGCCAGTATCTCATTCCAGTGGGGGGAGAAAAAAACATTTATAGCTGCCATACACAGAAGGTAAACAGAAATAAGCCAGTTTAGCAAGGGCCAACATGCTAAAATATACAGCAATTTAACAAAATGGAAATTATGCCATGTCTTAGTCTAAACCAGATGCTCGTTGGATCCTAGAGATGCAGAACTGCTCTCTTTCCCCCTACTCTTTCCTTGGATATCTCAACAACCAGGAGGCAGTGAAGAAGAGGAAAGGCATCTCAGCTGAGATCTGGAAACCAGTAATTTTCCTGCTCCCCATATCAGCATTTTCAAGTGAAAATGGGCAGAGAGAAGAGGATGGTACACTGTATTCCATGCCTCAGCACGCTCCAGAGATGCAAGCAGGACAGAAAAAAACAACACCTGCCATCTGCTCACGGTGGCAATACATTAAATCAAAAAAATAAGAAGCGAAGCCCAGGGCAGAGCTAGGAACAAGTGGCAGATTTGACAGAGAGGGAAGTGAGAGATGGTGGAGGGAGGGAGGGAGGGAAAAAGATGTAAAAGCAGAAGGAATAGAGAAAGGCAACTTAACATTTCAAAGCAAGTAGCAGAGTTAATGTATAGTTCTTGGAGGAGTGTTTCCCACCTACAAAAATCACCCCCACCCCAAAACTTCATTGTGGCTTTTGAAGGATGTACATCATTGCAAAGGTTACGTTCCACAGTGCCCGGTGCCCCTGCCAGTCAAAACTCAAAAGTAGTTGAAAGGGAACTATAAAAGAAAAGGAGCCTATGTCTTCAAAGGTCACCGCCAAGCAATTTTATTCTCTACTATTTCGGTTTGATATTCCAAGCTAAAAAGAAAGCAGGTGACATCCTGCTGTGATTAAAAGGCAGGGTTAAATTTCAGTGGTTTGTTGTGGCTGCTTGTTAGATTGAAACAAGTCTCTACGACAGGATAAACCAAAGTAGGTCGGGACTGTGCAACAAAGCAGATTTTTGTCCAGAATGGATCAGATTTGATTTAAAAAAAAGTTTCTCAGGTCCAGGGTGGAATTTGTGGTGAAAACAAGAGAGCAAGCTCAGAGCAGCCGGTACCTTGAAAGGTAGGGCCCTCATCAGAGCAACAGAAGAGCCAGGTTCATGTCTCAGCTCTGAATGAGGCAGTGCATTAACTGAGAGAGGCCTTTGACGGGAGAATAATTCTCCTCTCTCCTTGATTTGAAATCATTCAGATGTATTAGCCTCCTGAATTCATGATCACTTTGCAAGGCAGGTTGAGGTAAAATTGAAGGACCCACACTTTGATGTGGGTAGTAAGTGATTAGGTTACCAATTTTCTTTCAAATATCTCTAAAAAGGGAAGACATTAATACTTTTTTTTCTTTTTGTTTTGCAAAACATCCCCTCCTTTTTTCAAACAGCTCGAACTGCTATGATGTTTCAATGCCTTAGGTTTTCCAGTCTCCCGAGGTGACAAATGTGCTGTTTATTTTCATTTGTAAGAATTGTGAAATGTATTCTTAACTGATGCCAATAAGGCTAAAATAGATGTTCTTCTATGTGTGTTGTTTATTCATTGATTTAAATTTGAACACCAAGTGAGGATCTGGAGACGTAGGTTCAAACTTTAGAAGCAATAAATAAATAAGTTTAATTTCAGCAACCATAATTAAAGAGTCATTTCTTTTTAAATCTACTAACTTGACTATGTCAACGTAGTTTTAAGCACCAGCAACTCACTGCTGATCTTTAAAAATTCCTTCTTTCTTAGTTACTGCTAAAGGTCATGTAGTATCATTCTAATTATAAAAATCTCTACCCTCCCTTTCTCTCGGACCCATTACCTCTCCTTTTAACTGGAGGGCAATGAATAACAATCCCATTTCTCTCTTTTAGGTTACTACTGAATATAGAATGTACTATTTATTCTATGCTTTTGTGTCTAAGAGAGACTTGCTCTCAATATAACCTCTGCATCCTTTCAAGGCCTGTGGCATGCATGATAAGCATCTGCCTTTCTATAATATATACAATTAGGAAATTAGACTATGTGCTAGCCCCAGTGAAAAGATAGTTGAAATAAATACCTCTCTCTCCATATCTGTCTACTGAGCCAGTCCCCCTTCTTGCTACAAATGTAGAATGACAAATAAGAGTGGAAATGATAATATGCCTGGTGGTGTTGACTTAAACAAATCAGGCACATCAGTCAGTTAAAAACCCAGCTGCCAGCATCCATTTCATTCTCCTTCACCCAGATTTTATAGTGCTTGTTGGAGGCTCCCTTTCTGCCTGGCTGGCTTTTTAAAACAGAAGCAAAATGCTAAAGACATATTTATCTAAAAGCTTTGCAACGGCATGCTTGGCTGGGTATCTGCTAGGTGCTGCTTGCTTTGTTGTTGTTTTGTGCTTCAAAATCATATGTGTATGTGTTTGTCACTCGGGGATCAGTCAGGATTTTGAAGAACAACTTAGCCAAGCGGCTATGTGAGCCAATTTCTAAATGCTCTCCAGAATTAAAAAAACAAACCAACAAATTAAATTTGAACCAAGTGGATATTTCCCTTGTCCTTCATATCCCCACTGGGATTTTGTCTACCTACACAAAAACGCTCTATAATTAAAGAGACCTTGAGGAGCAGGAAGCATTACGTCCGCCACGTATGGCTAACTGAAAAATCATAATGCTCATTGCCCTATGGATCAGATGGTAACGAGAGCCTCTAAGTTAGCCAATTAACTCTCTCCCAAAGTAGAACATTCTGCTGATCAAGCTGGTGAAGGAAATCAGTTCCTCTACAAATGCTAACTTGGCCCTGCTGCTTCCAGAGAGGCTGAGAAGAGGAGGAGCTTGGCTCATTATTTCCAAGGTTTCTGAGTCACTCCTCAATCTCAGACAAGTGCTGGGATATGGCAACAACAACAAAAAAAGTTGTTCATTAAATCCACAGAGACCAAACTCCAAAAACAGTTGGAAGCAGATCTAAATCCTGCCATGTAGAAGTCAGCGAGAAGTCACTATATAATGTCAACAGCTGCTTTAGCCGTAATGGGAAACCACTTATTCACTAACTCTGAGAATGCCGCTTTCCCTCTGTCTCCTTTATAGCTGTATCACTAGGGTCCTATTTGCTCCAGGCCCACAGTATCTCTCCATTTTTCTCTGACCTTTGTAAAAGAAAGAGGCAACATATCTCTCATAATGCTTCTCAAAGAGGCACAGACCCATTATGAGCACAGGAGGTGGGGATTCGAGTACCTTTCTCTAGGCAGCTGGTGGTTAGGGTTGTGCCGGCACCGGACACTGAGGCCAAAGAGTTTGCGGGCAGTGCGCTGGATCTTCTGACGCTGCGCCTCCAAGGAGCTCTGGAGGAGCTTGTATCGGTTCTGAAGATCCCAGTCATTACCCCAGTGCTGGTGGATGCTCCCGATGGTCAGGAAATGGTTGTTAGGTAGCCTTTTCATGAAGGATTTAAACTCATCTGTAAATGCACAACACAGGTAGAGAGACTCTCACTGTCCTGAAATGTAAGTGTTCCACACTAGTGGGATAGAGAAGCAATAAGGATTGTGGTGCAGTCGGTTATTAATGACCAGCTAAGGGAAGCTGGTGGTTGTTAATCCTGAGTTTTGTCATTACTCCCTCCCCCCTTGCTTGTTTATGCTACTGTATGGGGAAATTAAAACTAAAGCATATGAGGACTGAGGTGTTATCTTTTAATTATACACAAGACATAACGAAAATAATTTAGAAAATTAGAAAATAATTTAGAAAATATTTTTTTTCTTAAAAAAAAAAAAAGGCACGTGAGAAATTTCAGTTGTGGTTTTGTTTCCTTTTATTTAAGAGTGCAGGGGAAACAGGCAGAAATCACATTATTTCCCAAAATAGAGCATTTGGTTTCTACCAAGTTCTGTATGCAATCTCCGGGTCTTGCTAAAAGGAAAGGCTTTCTTGTCTACACTTGAGTTACAAAGGAGAGGTATCCCCAAAAGGAAAAGCCTGGGAGCTGTTTCCATTGAAAACAGTTGTAAGTTCAAAACTGGAAATTTTCATGAAAAAAGTTCCTGATTTGAAATCTTCCATTTTTGCCCCATAAAAATCACCAGGCTGGAAAATGAAAAGATAGTCACTTTCTCCTCATTCTTGTTTTTATTTTCCCTCCAAATGCTTTCTCCTTTTTCATCCTTCTTTTTTAGTTTAAAAAGGAACAAGAAAAAACTAGGGGAAAACAGAAACAGTATCAAAATAATTAAAAATAAACATTTAATAAATTTTAAATTGTCATGGAAATTTTCAAAATATTGTCTACTGTTTCATAAAATAGTGCCTGCCCTTCAATCAGCTCTGGTTCATTTCTAACTCCTTAGCAGAGAAAGTCTGTGTATTAGCCATCCAGATAGATGGATGGATAGACAGATAGTCATTCTGTGCTCATAACTAGGGAATCTGAGCACCTAATAAAAACATAATTATCACCACCACACTATAAAGGCCCACAGGACATCTGGTTTTCTCTGTCCTTCCCAAAGGCAGCTGGGAGAGGGTTTTTTTTAATCATCTTGAATCATCTCTCAGGTTTCAACTCAATTTATAATGTAGCTTAAAGCCCCCCATCCCTCCTCCCCAAAAATGTTTCTCTCCTGTTCCCTGGCCCTCTGAATCTATCATCGCGTATAATTGCTTTTGTTGACCATGCTGATTATTCCTAGTACCTTTTAGCAATAAAAGCCCTGTGTTTGCTTCCCGCCCCTTATAAATCAATTTCCTCCAAAGCCTGTTTGTGCAAAAGAACAAGCGCTTTTTCCTTTGATGATGAATGTGCCACAATTTCGTAGAGACGACGGGGTGAAATTTCAGTGCAACATATGCATTTGGATACCAATAGTGTAACCTTGGACATAAACCCAGCCAGCAAAATAACAGCTGCATGGTGTTAGTTCCAAAACCCATGGTGGCACTTCAAGAAAAGCAGTTTCTTAGTTTGTTATCTATACAACAATAGCATTTATAGGCTGCAGTTGAAATTAGGGTCCCATTGTGCTTTGGCATTATAACCTAAGACTTTTATATCCCAGAGAGCTTAAAAACTAAGTAGTGAGACTGGATAGATTTTTTTTTTTTTTTTGGTGATATAGAACATGATGAAATTGCTTTGACTATATCTCTTAGAACATACTAGAGTTTGTTTCCCTTCTTGCTGTGACATCCAGCATGTCATGGAAATCTAAAAATTGTGGATCATTATAGTAGATGTAGTCTGGTTGGGGTGCCCAGCCCATGGAAGACAATGCCTGATGCACATGAGATACCTCAATAATCATTTCAGTGAGGCATTCTGGAAGTACTTGCAAGTACAATTTTTTATTTTTGCAGATATTTGTTTGTTTCTTTTTTGGGGGGCATTTGATATCCCATAAAAAGTTTTAAATGTCCATCAGGAAACAGACACTAGTGCAAAAAATTTACATTTAATTCAAAATTAAACTTTCCATCCAAAACCAGTTCTGATGCAATACATTTGCTGAGTACCTACAAAAGGGCAAGGCAGAAACAGGCAGTGTTATTAAACCAGCTTTCCAGACAGGGAAGTAAACACGAGAGATTAAAGTACAGATCCGGAGCAGGGGCAAATCATTGTAGAATCAATGATTTTAAAAGAAGTAACCCCAAATGATACTAGTTCATAATTTGCTCTGACGTCATTTTCTGAAGGTCACACACAAGTCTGTGGCAGACCAAGCCCTGAACTTAAATCTTTTGAGTCATGATCAAATGTCTAAGTTCAATCTAAACACAGGGCCACTCTCTCATTTGCTTTTTGACCAGAAGAACTCCATAGAGTAACACTGAAATTTCCCATAATGCCCTCTTCCATGTATGAAAACTGAATGAATACTGAAATAATCAGGAGACTGTATTATTATTATTATTATTATTATTAAAATAAAGAAGTAAAATGTGAATGATAGCTATAGCATCTTTCACTTCACAGCTACTTTATGTGAAAAATTGATTATTGAGAGAAATTGATTATTATATAAGACTTGTAAATACAATCTACACACAGGGCTCACTTTATCTACTATGGAGATGCATCCTCCCCTAGCGTTGGATGTAGCAGCATCTTATCTGTTCACTGCCACATAACAGCATATGCTGAAGAAACTACAAGGGAATTTTAGGGAGACAGATTATAATTACCTGGGAATGGGGGAATTGGTCTATCTTCATACCCCAGGTAATACTGGGAAATACTGCATGGGATCTTTAAGAGCAAGAGTGGTTAGGATATGAGCGTATGCTTCTGCTTTGCACTACTGTCCAGTAGGAGTCATCCCATCTAGGTCATGGGTAGGTTCTCAGGAAATATAATGGATGTATTTCCATTGACTATATTGAGCTACATCAGCTGAGGATCTGGCTCAGTGGAGTGACAGAGGTGTAAAACCAGTGTGAAAGCAGAAACACTCACAGCAGCACTGAATACCATTTCCATGCACTGAAATAAAGGGCAATTCTCTGTAGATCACTAGGGCTAAGCACAGACAGTCAAAAAAAGCCCAAGGCTGAATTGACTCAGTCTTTGCAGGTAAGACTAAACTGTGTAGATTGAACTGATAAGCAAGTGAACAGGCATTCACTTTTGATTCCAGAAATGCAGCCACATGCCTGCAGTGGCCCAGGCCAGAAGCCAGGAGTGCTAGAGCATGCCTCCCTGCTCAACTGGAGTAGACAGCATGGGCCAAGGCTAGCCCACCCACCCCGTGAGGGGGGCAGGGGGTTTGCAGGAAGGTGCAAAACATCCTGGGATGCTGGGGGACTGTGAATTAACTTGAATCTGGAGGGGATCTGGGACAGAAGTTCAATAAAACGATTTAACTTAAATCAATTAAGTCTGATACTACATCCGTCTAGGTTTATCTTAAACTAGTTTCAGCCATTTTGAAAGTGGTTTATGGGGCACTGAACATCTGTTGTGTTACAGATTTGAATTGGTTTCCAATCCCTTATACTGTTTTGTGTGTAATTTCTGTCCCTAGTTCACAGGGACACTGCAGCTCCTACACTAACCCCACAAGGAGTCAGGGGCCTATGAACCAATGAGCAATAAAAGACCAATTTGGAAATACATTGCAAAGGCCTCCTGGCAGAATTTCCTATAAGTAATTTGTCTAAGGCCACACTGTTTCCCCATTGGACAAAGGCCTGAACAGAAAACTTTTCTTTTAAAGACCCAAATTGTGCAAAATATCATTAATTTCAAAACCACAGCAAAACTGGCAAAAAGTCAAACGTTTCTCAGCTTTCCTTTGGGTGCATATCTTTCCACAGAGCTCCAATAAAAAACCCAAAACAAACCTGGTAAGACAGCCCCTTCCTAACTACTTATATTCCCATGTCAGAGGCAAATACAATTTAGCCACAAGCACTACACAGTACATGTCGCAGGGGACTGGCTAGTACTGTCATTCATGATTTCTACTGCAGAAATGCCTTGTCCAGGCAAGGATTTTTATTTAAAAAAATCATCCTTAAACCCATCAGACACAGGTACTCAGAGGAAGGAACATTGTTTTTTTGACAAAACAGCCTTTTTTGTACAAAATGTCTGCTTTCCAGGGACATTTTTCATTGTCCACACACATGCACAGAAAAAAAAGCATTTGTTTGCCAAAAATTCCGCCCCTCACTAAAATAAAAAACTGGGGGGAGAAGTGAAAAATGTCTGCAGGAAAGAAACCCATTTTCCCAAGCTGCTCTTACCATTATCACTAGGTTTCCATATATATATGTTATATATATAGCTAGAAAAGAGCCTTTTTGCCTAGTTACCTGAATTCTCCAGATCTTTATAGGCTTCAGTCCAGGACTTGGCCATGTTTGCCAGTGTGTACTCCATGATCTGAATGTCGGTGATGGGACAGTTGCATTGTGGGAATTCTTCAGCGCACTGGCAGCTACACTGGCTGTTCCGACACACGTACTCTCCCTCTCCATTGCACATGATGTAACTCAATGCAGACTGGACAAATTTCTCCTGTAAATACTGAGGGAAAATGATCTGGAGACCTGGCAGGGAGACAAGAGGAGGGAATGTGAAAATAAGTAGTTTGGGTTGCTGTTCTTTTTTTAAAACTTGTTTCATTAACAGCTTGGGAAAGTGACACAAAGGAATTAAGTGCTGTTATCAGATTTCTTCCTTAACTGTGATGAGCAAGGAATTTGGGGTGCGAGTTTTATGCCTCAGGTGCGGCACGGTCGGCAAGCTGAGATTGGATCTTATCTGCCAGTCTTCCGGAGGTTATGGCATGAAACACCATCCCACAAGGCTTAGAAAATACATCAGCATATGAAAAACTAATGGAGATATTAGGTGTGAGTCCTTTAAAATGTACATTGTTGTACTGTCGGGTGCTAGGAATCCATAGCCCCAGACCACTATTTTAGAAAAGGCTGCCTATATTCCTCCACAGCTTGTTTTGCCCCACACTGGGATGGAGACAATCTTTGGGCTCTGTATTCCCAGTGACTCCCACATACGGTGGATTTTTCAGTGACATCCACTAACTATTTGTTGAGATGTAATGAATATTACATCTGAATAAGTAGTTAGGTAGGTAGCCTATAAGTACATAAGGGATGTGCATCAGGATCTGGGGGAACACCTGTTCACCAGAGCACCCCAAGGGATGACAAGGTCCAATGGTCACAAACCCCTTCAAGACCATTTTAGGCTGGACATAAACTTCTTTACTGTCCGAACCCCCAAGGCCTGGAATAGACACCCCTCAGAAGTGGGGCAAGCATCTACTCTGGACATTTTAAAGAAATATTTGGATGTTTATCTTGCTGGGATCCTTTGCCCCTAGCTGACTTCCTGCCCCTTTGGCAGAGGGCTGCACCCAATGAACTTACAAGGTCCCTTCCAGCCTTAATATCTATGAAATGTATTAGGCTATTCTAACATATTTCACAGGAGATTAAATAGCTCGCATACTGAAGAAATACAGGAACTATTCGGGGGAAAAGAAAGAGAGAGAGAGAGAGAGAGAGGGAGAGAGAGATTTGCACAGGTGCCTAGGAGAGTTATGCACCCAATTCCCACTGAATTTCAATAGGAATGGGGTATGTGATTCCTTTCAGCTCATTTGTAAATCCCCAGTGTATGGTTTATGTGTCAGGTCCTATGAGGGGGCAAACTGGCTTCATTCCACTGACTAAAATGGAAATATGAAGATATATACCAAAATCTGCCTTCCCACATTGACTGATAGATAAGCATAAGTGCTGGTGTGTGCATGTGGGCACGAGGGCTTGTGTGTGAAGAGGATATGAGTGGCAGTCTAAGTGTTCCCCCCATACACGCTGTACATATTTTCCTGTGCTCTCCCGGTGAAGCCCGGGTCTGTGGGCTCCCTGCAGACGGCCCAGGGCCCTTTAGGATGCACAGCTGTTTCCTTGTACCTGATAAGTTCTGCTTGTCAGACTCCGTCAGCTTCTGAAGCGCACGAGGCAGAGAGAACAATAACTACGAGTGAACCTTTTGCAAGACGCCTGGCCTGATCGCCTTCCTCATAAAAGGCCCAGGGATTTCAGACTGGCAGATAAAGGAGTTTATGGCTTGAACAGCAGTGCTGAACTCCAGTGTAATGAAGGCATGCGGGTCAATTACCCATCTGTTTGTGTTTCTATTGCTCTGAATTACAGTATCCATCGCTGACAGCTCATTGGAGTGGAATGAAAATAAGACAATAATTCACAGGGTGAAACTGTGCAGAAAGGGCAGGAGGGCTGCGATCTCATTCAGGAGTTCAGCCCCCATCTCTGTGATGGGTCATTTGCACTTCAGGCAATAGAAAGGCAGTGGGGGGCTTCCAAGGGCCCACCTCCCTGCTTTTTAGAGGATACCTGTCCTTTCCACGGAACACAAAGGAGTTGCTCAAGTGTGGGGGTATCACCAGTGTAGTAGGGGTGCACTGGACCACCTCTCCTCTCTCCCTTGTGCATGAGGCATGGTTTCCTCTGAACAGTAGGCCCACTGGCTGTGAGCTGCCCAGTTGTCTGACCTAATTCTCCATCAAGCACAGAATGGAGGCAGCTGCCAGGCAGAGTGGATACAGTGCCATTTACTACTGGAGGGAATATTTATGACATGCATGAGGATGGATCACAGGCCAAATTTTCAGAGGCACAGAGCATCCCTCGCCCTCTCAGATTTTCACATGTGGAGAACCCACAACTCCCAGAAAATTCAATGTTCCTCATGCACATTTCTCTTCAATAATACAAGTCAGTGTTGATGAGAGCTCTGTAAAACAGAAGGCTAAATACAAGAGATGAGTCCCGCTGATGCTGCTTAAAATGGGTCACAATAAAAATCTCAAGGTGCCTCCTTTCAACTACAAGGATTGCAGGTACTGAGCTTCTTGCAGGCTTTTGCCCTAGGTGACTATCTTAGAGTGACATTTCTTTTTCAAACCTTAATACTGAGGTAAGGTGAAGACCTCCAGCTGCCAGTTCCCAAGATTTTAAGCTACTTGCCTTGACAATAGAGAGTGAGCTGTTGAGGATTTTGAGACTTACAAAATGCCTAGAAAATAAGCCCGAGGGCCCTGAAGGTTCATACACTTATTAAGATTATGAGGCAGTAGAAGGCAATGAGCTGGACTCTGCACTTTGCACAAATTTGATCCGAATAGCCAGTGCTAAGGTCTGGGTTCCCCAGAATCAACTTTTCCCTTTGCTTTCACCCTACAGCAGTGAACCCTTTTACACATTTCGAGACTCAAGGCACCTCTTACTCGACTGAAGCCATCCCTTGCTTGATGCAAGGCAGCTCTTGGAAAATGGCTTTAGTTTTCACTCATTTGATTACGGAAAAATAATTAGAGCAATTTTTTGGTTGTAAAGAACTCGGAACACAGCAGGTCAGAGTGTTTTGACCCCTGTGTGAAACCTCTGGGTTTATCTTGTGAATCGTCTTAGCACAACTAACAGTTTTATTGTGTGGCCCCCCTGTGACACCCTTAAAAGATGCTTAAGGTATCCCAGGGTACCTCAGCAACCCGGCTGAGAATCACTGCCCTAGAAAATGGCTAACCATGGCACCTGAGAGCTTCTTCAACATTTAAAAATATTTATCTTCCTTTCAGCTCACCAAGTTTTCCGTTCAGCTGGATGGTAATTTAGTTGATGTGCTTCCAAGTCATTGCTACATGATGGTGACTATGTTTCATGTATAACAACACAGGTAACCTACTTGGACAGGCCTAGCTGTACATATGGAAAACACGCAGATTTGGCATCCTATTCTTGTCACACACAGACACTCACACTCACACACAGCCTTATGATTGTGTGTTTACACTTGTACGTACAGATTCCTGACCATTCATGCACACACCCATGCATGTAAACAAGAACATATGCTGCATGTCCCAGCATATTGCAGAAACACATTTCAAACAAACACTCCCTCCTCAGCCAAACCAAAAGCATGCATGCTCAACTATATAAATATGTGTATCCAGACAGATGCTCACATATAGGTCCTAAATCTCACAGGCACCAGGATCCTTCAACAGTAAGTCACTTATGCTCACTTTCAGACCTCCTCTCATTGCCAGTGCAATAGAAGGCCTTCTAGCCTTGATAATCAGGCCCTTATTTACAAAGGCTCCAATCCAGCAAAGTATTTATTCATATATTTAACTTCAACTACACAAGCAGCCCCATTGATTTCCACCTACATATCATTGTGCTTAAATAAGCATGGGTTTGACTGCTTTGCTGTATCAGAAATATAGCACTCAGATATACACATGCCCAGGCACTCACATACTCATATGAACACGCAGGTGTTTCCAGTAAATGCAGCCCTACACCTTTAAAATTCCACATATACTGAAAGAGGGGAATGTCCTGGGTTGTTTTTTTTCTCCACAGACTCCATGGTATGTAAAGAGCTCACCCTCCAGACTAGGGATTCCCTTTCAGGCCAATACTAAGGTTGTTGAACTATAACCACCTTGCCTAGGTTTATATTCACATTTACATTTCAGCACATACCGTCACACAAAACGTACATAGCAATACCACACCTGTGCTCTCACACCCAACATGCTTCCTGGAGATACCAGACATTCCTGAGTACTCTAATTCATTGGTCAGCATCCAGACCATTATGAGCATGTGATGCACTGAAGTTAGGGGTACCTAGTGAAAAGGTTTACTTTTCATTCCATCCAGGAAGAGCACACACCAACTGCTGAAGCTTCCTTAGCCTGACGAAGGGTTTTTGAACCTGAAAGCTTGCTTAATAACTATTCTCCAACCATTTGGGTTGGTCTAATAAAAGATATCAAATTCACCCAAGGAACCTTGTCTGCCTGGGTACCTAGTGATGAAGCTGGGGTAGGGGCAGGCAGGATACATGGGAGCTGGCAAAGGTTTACGTTTCAAGTTCATCTGGAAAGACAGCTATTGATGGAGAGGTGCTTGAAAACCTACTGTATTACTAGACGCACTTTTAAATTGCCCTTCACTTTCAGTTAAATTAAAACTTTTTGCAGGAACAGGTTGACTTCAATGAGGTTCTTGATGGTAGACACTCTCTTGTATTTTTCCAATAATATTAAAGTATTTAGTCTTACTTTTATTGTTTCACTTGATTTAGGTGAGAATGTTATGTTATGTTGAGACATTGGTGTCAATATATTCATGTCCCTTATATTTAATTTATACAATATATTCACGTCCCTTATATTTAATTTGTACATTTTGTGTTTGTGGTACTTAATGTTTCAACAGTTTTGAAACAGAAAGATTTCTCCTTATGAAAACAAAAACAAAATGACATTATCCAAAAGGAACATTTCAATATATCCAAGTTTTTGATGCCCCCCTCCCAACCCAGTATTTTCATTTAAAGAAGACATTCCAACATTTCAGCTTTTCATTCTGGTTTGAAGCGAAAACAAAATTCAGTTTCAGCATTTCCCTTGAAACAGAAATTTCAGTTGCCAGGAAGTTTTACCTACAACTTCCAGCTTTACAAACATGGCAACCCAATCCCAGCAACAATTCATTTCTGAGAGGCAGGATATTCAGTCAGTAGACAGCTGTTGAGGAAGTGAACTAGAACGCCAAGAGAAGATGACAGATATGAGAAGCCATGGAAGGCAAGTGAGTACAAACATGAAAAACCCAACATAGAAGTATTAGCATGCATACATATAGTCACACACACACAGATAGTTCCCCTTGTGCACTCCTTCCTTACTGAATGTTTCTGTCTATTGGAGATACAAACACTCTCAGGCCTGGCATTACATCTGCCTGCTGACCCCAATCTCCTAGAATGGGCGCACCCAAATTCTGGATACGGACTTTGGGTCTGGGCCTCTGAACTTTGGCTCAGGCACTTGCTTGTGAATAAGGTGCTCTCACTTTTCAGGTTGTCCCTAAGATCTGACTGTGGCAGGTAGGTTTGGAATCAGAAATCCTTCCTGTCATGTAGATGCTGCTCTTTTATTGAACTGGCCTCCCAACCAGAGCGACATAAAGGCAGGAACATGGATTTCTGTCAGCAGTTCATGCTCGACTGCTAATCAGATGAGAGGAGGCTAAGTCACGATCCGTTACCTGTTACTAATTCTTAATGAGGTCTCTCAAGGCAGCTGAAGAGGAGAGTAAGGATCCCAGATAATTATTCCAAGAACCACCCTCCAGATTGGGTGGATAACATTAAGACATAGCTTCAAAGGTCACTTTGATTTATGAAGAGGAGATCATTCCCTCGGGCCTGCCGTCCAGCCTTTCCCTGTGCTCTGGGCTGGCCAGTGTTGGGGATACCATGTAAACTCATGGTGTGCCTTCTGCTATTACCCCTCCTTCTCCTGTCCCCCACCTCTCCCCTTGGCTGTTCCTGTTTAAACAGCCTGAGCATTCCCCGAGCCTCCCAGAAGACTCTCCAGACTGGGAACCTTAATTCTCCCCTTTCTCTTTATTTCTTTCTAAAACTTTTCCTTTTAAAGGATAGCTTTAAAAATGATCTGTTGGGACCAGATTGAAAGTCAGGAAAGCCTTTCTGTTCATTCAGTTAGGGATCAGTCTCTTAAATCTATCATATGAGGGGTTTGATTAGTGCTGATCACCATAGTATATTAAAAGAACAAATTGTCTATTACTCAACATACAAATTATGGGAGGGCTCATTCTGGTGATCACCAATAGACTTACAATAGCATATTCTTATTTTTAAAGAAAGTAATCTTAAAAATCTACCATGCAATTTGGTAATCAAAACTCAGTGTCTGGGAAAGCAAGATTAAAACAGGAATGCCAAACTGTAACGTAGTCCATTAATCTGAATCATTAAAGTTTCTGCAGTACACTTATTCCAAAAATAAGGCAATAGGGACAAAATGAATAAAGTTCATATTTCCCTGTTTGTCGAAAATGGGAATAATTGCAATGAATTTCATGCCCAATTAATTTCCTACTCCCACTGAAGTCAGCGGAAAGACTCCTATTGACCCCTATGAAATCAGTATTTGACATTTAATGAATTAATTAATTTTTCTAATTAAACTATCAGTCTCCAGAGTTGCTCATCAATGGGGTTTGAACCCATGACTTTCAGGTCCAAGATACAGACCTCTAACACTAAAAGATGATGTCCACTAGCTAGGAGCTAACACTTAGTATTTGCCATCCCCAAATATCTTATATGGATCATGTTTTAAAAAGGGATAAATATACTTAGCTAATGTCTTCCTCAAATACCATTAGAAATGTATTATATTTATTTATGGTGATACATATATAAAAATAAAAAGCAGTTTCTACTGAAAATTAGTGGTAGTTGGACACCTAATTCTCTCAGGCACTTTTGTAACATGCTAGGTGAATTAAGGCATTTTTACAGACCTAAATGTTTCTTTAATTCTGCCCAACCATCAGAGTTGGGACCCCATTGTGTTGGACGCTGCACAAATGTTTAGGACATCACTGTCCCCATCCCCAGGACTTAACAACACAATTGAAGACGAGGCAGGGATTTCAGCAAACAGTAGGAGACAAGTAGGGAGAGTGATGGAGAAAAGGGTTTAATTTTCTCCTTTCCTGTGTTCACATTCTTCATTCCCTTCTTCCTTTCCTTTCCTTGCAGATGAAGTTTGCTCTCAGTGCTTTGCAGAAGGACAGAACTCACAGAGTCCAGATTGTCATAGCTGTTACAGCCCAGGGGGCCAGTCCGAGTTTCTGTTACCTGTACCAAAAGAGAAAAAAAACAACAATAGCAATATTCCCAGGCAGTCCCAGGCCTGTCGCCCTGTCTCTGCTAGCAGGTGCACCCAGCTCTATGCACTAAAGTACATCCTACCTGATGTAGGCTATGTTGTATGGTTGAGAATAAAATATCCTCCAGTGTACAGATGTGGTCAGGTCTGAAATTCAAGCAACTTGATAAAAGATCCACCCATCAGACCCAGTCTTGCTTTGATCTCTCCCTTTTTCTATACAACTACATGTAAATCTGGACCTATACCCTGATGCAGTCCATAGGGGAATCTCTGTTGGATCAGACCAAAAGCCAAGAAAGGAATAATTCCCTGGCATCTCTGCATGGAAACCTAGGTGAGGAGATGGATCAGTGGTGATGCTTAACGCTCCCAAGCCACATGAGCAAGCCGATAAATATTCTAGCTAGAGGGAGACAGAAAATCCTCCTCCCCCCTGCAGTGTAGCCGTTTTTGTGAATGGAGGTTTCCAGCTCTGGAGGAGAGCTGCCCTTCCTGAATTCACAAAGGGCAATTATTTTCTGTCACTGCTTCAGTATCTCAATCTGGCATCCCGTCCATGAGGGAACAGGCTCAGCCAGGAGACACCGTGGTATAATAACAGAAGCCGGAGCCTTTCAGAAGTGGCTAACATTGATGTCTTCATCCCGTTTCTCTTCCCTGGAGTGAACTCTGTGACAGTCAAATCCCTCCCCAATGTAGGCTGATGGCTTTCAGAGGAAGAGGTCTTTGTTTGTGGATCCATTTTCTCTCCTTTGTATGCTGCCAGTAGTTCCCCTCCCCACCGCCCCAACTCCCAGCTCGCTATCGCTATCCATTTCATTTCAGATGCCTTTGTAATGCCTCACTGTGGGCTTTTCTCACTCCCTTGTAGTTAATTCACCTGAGAGCTGTTCAACAGACACCACAGCAATGCCTGTAACAGGAAAATATTCAAGGGTGGCACGATGTTGTCCAATATTTCTGCCAGTGGAGAATTGCTTGCTTATGCCCGATCATACAGCCTGGAACAGCAATCCCTTCTTCACCCTTGCCATCACACTGCACTGACTGCTTCTACAGCTCTTCAGCATCACAGCCACTCTCCAGTGCTCATCCCCTTTCCACTGTTACACTCATACTAGATGGACCATCCCCATCCAAATATCACTGCCACACTGGAAGGGCCTATGACTGGTACAACAGGATGACTTGTCCCATCTAGCCTCAGGACCAAAAGGGAATGACTTATTTTTTGATCTGCAAAGGTGACACGCTGCTGGTAATCCAACAGCAATACCACATTAAACTGTCCCGTATCACTACTGTGTTGGAATAGCTGCCTTGCTCTGCTTGGTTTCCCTTCTTAGACTCTCCTTAGCAGCACAAACCATACTTTGATTGCTCCGGTAGAGATCTGGATCTCATGGAGTCTCCTCATGGTGCCATCACGGTCTACAAAGTAGGAGGAAGCAAGCTGGTGCAGGGCTTCAACACTCTGAGTTGCATTCCCTGACTTCCTGTCAAGTCGGCTTTTGTCCATGTACATGGTCAATGCCTCCTCTCCTGCAAAGGAAAGAAGATAGGTTGTCGCTGCCCGCTCCAGAAGACTTACTGCCATACACCGTGATATGCATTAGAGCCTGTCTCACTGATCACTCCTGGAGCTCTGTAGTTTAACAAAGTTATTTCCATTCATCAGCATAATGGGGCAGATCCTTGATCTGGTATAAATTGGCCATACTATATTGCAGTCAATAAATGGTGTAAATCAGCTTCACTGAAATCAATAAGCCAGATTTCCAGCTGGTGTACATCAGCATAGTGTCGTCAAAGTCAATAGGGATAGGTCACTTTATAGGAGCCTTAATCTAGTTCAATACATAGAATGAATAGACGGGTGTAAAGGATAAAAAGATTAGTATTTGCATCTATTTCTCCTCCAGTCTCCTTGCAAAAATTAGTGGCTGAGGAGAAACGTGCATATCAGGGTTATAGGAAGAAGCAGGATAAACCACCAGCCCGTACCCAATCTGTTCCTTCTGCTGAGCTCAGGTCCCTAAAATTGTGTGAGCAAAAGGTGCAGTGAAATACCAAGGTATCAGAATCAATATTAATGAGAATCAAAATCCATATTAATGAGAGCATCACTTCCCCAGAAATCATGGAGAACAGGGGTGTTGGCAAGTTCAAGTTCCATCAGCAGCAACAAATATTAAGGAATATTTGCTAAATTTTGTAGCCAAAGAAAAGAAAGATGAAAAGCAGAGACTGCAAAGTTTACAAGTGGGGGGTTGCTTAAAAATTCTATTAATGACATATGAACCACAAAGAAATCCATCTCACTCTCTGCTACCAGTGCTGGCTTGGCAGGCTGAAAAAAATAGAGTAGAAACAACTATTTTCATCACTAACACCAAGAAATCTAATTCTGGATACACACAGAGAGCAGATCCTCAGAGTAAGAAGATCCCATTTCTATATCACTAGCTTAAAAAGGAGACTGAACTTTAATTAAAGAAGAAGTAAGTGACACCTGCTGTAATTGCATGGGAGAGCCATTAATAAACATGCTGCTGATGAGGATGATAATAACAGGTCTGGTCAAAAATGTATCCAAACAGGTTTCTGATAAATAAATACTTCGGGTTTTGAGCATTTTTTTTAAATGAAAAAAAGGAAAGCTGATATTTTTTGTGGAAAAAAACCCCTGATTAGTTAAAATCAAAATGTCATCAAAAATCTACTTTCTGTGGAAGCTTTCCTTTCTTTCTTTATCTAAAAGCCAAATTCCTGAAAACAAAAAATGTCATGGAATATTTTGCTTTCATTTCTTTGTTTGTTTTACAGATAAACATTTGGGGTTTAGATCATTTGCCTCTTAGATGGGGGGAAAAAAAGACATTTTCCAAGGCAGAATCATACTTTTTTTTTGGGTGGCGGGACCAACAACGAGTTAATTTAAATCTCTTCATTTGCTTCATGGATGCTGTAAAATAACTTGTTTTCTGACCAAAATAATATTGACAGTAGTGTCTAGAGACCTCTGCCAGGGATCCATGGCATTAAGCACTAAAGTTGCAAATAGCAGAAAGATGTTTTCTGGCCCAAAGGGTTTACAATCTAAGTATATGATGAGAGACAACAGGTGTAGACAACAAACAGACGGGAGAAGCACAAGGTAATGAGCTGATTATGATTAGCGGGATAAGCAGTGGTCATATAGCATACCAGCTGCATACCAACACATTGTTGAGTGCTTTGCAGGTTTCATGGCACAGGTGAATTTTAAAAATAGATTTGAAGGAGGAAAATGCATTGGGCTTTGTAGATATTTTTGCAAGGGAGCTCCTCCCAGGCGTAAGCGGAAGCAGGGAAGGAAGAGCACAGATATTTCTGGGAAGATGGGATGAATCAGAAATACAGGTTGTATTGTGGGGTTAAATTTGTCATTGAAAAGAGTGTACTGCACCTCCTAGGGATACGCCTGAGATAAATTAGCTGCTTTGTGTCCATTTCCAGACTAGGCTGCTACGTGTAGTGCAGTATGGCCCCGGAGGGACTTGAACTGTAATTTCCTGGACAAGATATTCAACTACCATGAGAGAGGTAGGCACCCAGATTTTATCAAACTCACACCTCGCTTAAATTCTTCGGAAAGTCCCATGCCCTCATTTATATTGTCCATACATTGACATAAAGGGTGTTTGACCAGGCCTCCACTCAATGTTAATTGGTGGACTTGTCAAAGCACAGAACATTTAGACAGAAACCAGGCAGTAAGCAGAAACCCAGGTGCTAGAAAACCAGGATTTCAGCTGAAGGTTAGAAGGATAGTCCCAGATATACCTTGTTAAATAAACTTTGTGAAGCTGGTGGTGTCCCCAGACAGAGTTTCAAGAAACCCAAGCTTTTAGGGTGCCTGGAGATCTGTATTCTGTCCCCAAAGCTGTTGTTATTTTTCCCTTTGTGAAGTGTTGAGATCTCACCACTGGGAGGAGGAGGGGGAAAAAATCTGAAAAAAGTCTATGAGCTTCAGCACATGCCTTGGGAGATGAGCATCATTCCTGAGAGATGATTGACGATGGCAGGGGGGGCATGCGCTGCTAGAAATCTGCTCTGTGTGCATGAGACTAGCAAAAGCACAGCATCCCCACAGAAAAAGAGTGCGTCAAAGCAGCCCTTAGATCAAGAGGGGTTAATAGATTTTGCTGCATTATTAAGTCTTAATTTCTCGTTTATTAAGTGAATGCTATGTTCAAAGTTGTCTTCCCTTCAGGGCTTTCCCTGCAAATTAGCTCTCAGCTCTGTGTTCTCCGTCCCTGAGCAAGTATGCCCTAGAAATGACCCTGCACCAATCCCTTTGTCAGAACTAAACTGGAGCATCAGGGCTCGCTCTTTATTGGGCTCCAGGGGGAAGGAGCTGATCTGTAACTGAAAAGCAGCTGAAACGCTGACGGGTGCAAAAGACAACAGTTGTACCAGACTGGCTCATCTCACAGGCTCCCTTAAGCCCGTATAACAGCGAGTACAAACAAAGGGTGGTGCCCATGTTGTTCTTTCATTCCTCAGCTGGTTATAGGTCACATGGAGATTTAAATTGGTTAAAAGCAGTGTTTTCTGGAGAAAAGTTTTCTGATGAGGCCTGAGGTGTTTAGAGGGTTAGGGAAACAGTGGGCGCATCTACATGTTCATTAATGCAGTGTAGTTACTGTGCATTAAGTTTAGTACTTATATAATCAAGTGCTAAATGAATGTATAGTAATGGGCATTACTGCACCGGCACATGCCCTTTTAGTGATGTTACTGCACAGTAGCCTAATAATACTGTGCAGTAGCGTATTTGCGCTGTTTGTGCTGCGAGGCGCTACTGCGCAGTTAGCATCTCACGTAGACGCACCCAGTGACTACTAGGATAACCTCTCTTTGATACCACAAGCATCCAGATTGGCCTGAAAACTCTTCCTGGAATATGTCCCACTCCATGCACAACGCCTGCTCCACAGTCGCTTTGTCTGCATCATCTTTATCATGTTCATCATCAGGGTGGAGCCTTTATTCCACTCCCCTCAAATCCGGACACTCCCCACTATCTGGACTGATTGAACATTTAGTATTCTCTCCACCAGCAGCTCTCGTTACAAGCCTCTGCATATTTAAAAATGTTGTGTTGTAAAAACAGGAAAAGGAACAAGCCACTGTGAATAATTCACAACCTCGCCCGGGTGAAATTAAAAATATATTTCACCAGTGAAGGTCTTTGTTATTTGAAAGGAAGAAAGAAAGGAGAAAGGCTGTCAGTGAAGGGAAAAAATAAAACCACAAACAAAACTCTGTTCACCTCCGTGGCTGCTTACTTTGTTGACTTGTGCCGTGTAAAATGTGATCCCCAGGAGATGTTCCCTCAACAGAGAAGAGTACTGTCTGCAAAGGATTCATTTAGATCCTGATTCAACAAACCACTCCTATTAAACAATAGATTTAAGCATTGATGGTGTTTGATTGATGGATTGAAAAGGCAGTTAAGGATTTTGGAGTCTTTCAGTCTGAATTCAATAATAGGCAGGGGCACATAATTTCAGCAGTGCTATATATGTTTATCTGGCACCGAAGTTGCACATGCCCAAAATGTTTGCAGGGATGCAAGTCAGTCTGATCTCGCCCTCATATCTGATTAAGTGCAATAGGTTTAAGGAGTTTTCTACAGCCTGAGTAGGAAGCATAGCCAAAAAGTCACTATGGACTTCAATACTGCCAACCTATTTCATGTGGAAGGCACTCAGATAGTACGGCGATTGGCAGCAATGCAAAGCCCTGAGATAAGCTGCCTTGTTTGTCAGTGCAATATTTTCAGAACAAATACCACTATTTGCCATAAAAGCTATTCAACTGCATGCCCCAAATGGGTAACAAGTAGAGCTGGTAAGAGGGAAGGGAGGAGGGAGTGAGGGAGAAGAGGGGAAAAAAAACAATATTTCCACTGGAAGTGTTTTTCCATTATTCACTTTCAAATCATTTGAAATTTTCTATGCAGCACCAGTAGCTCTTCATACAAATGACTGCCTGCCCCCTGCAATCCTTTAGTCAACCATATTCTGCCCACACATGGACCTGTCTGCAGTCCCTGCATATAATGTCTTGCATTTAATTTAACTATTTTTTTTTCCTTTCAACACAAACATGCCCTATAATATTGTTTTCACTGCTGCATTCAATTCAGGACTTTCTGCCTCCCCTCTCCCCCCTAACTCCTCTCAATTGCTGCTCCCACCATTATCTAATTCCTTAGTCTTCTTTATGAAACATTTTAGATTCTTCCGTCTGGTGACATTCCCTTGTGGGAGAAGACGGCTTTCCTCCTGAATTCAGTTTGGCTTCAGAGACAGGAAAAAGAAGAAAGCATCTAGTTGCAAGAAACAAGGCAGAGGGTGAAGCTAAGGTGTGGGTAACACGGTAGATTTTTAACCAACAAGTCCACTGTTCCTGCTGTTCTGAGTGATGAAACCTCCAGCTGAATATTCAGCTCACATGATTTCTTTTTCTGTTGGTGGATGTTTTCATTCCCCACACCCAGCTCCTTCGAACTGCTTAGGGCTCCCTGAACACTTCCTTGGGATTCTTTAAATAGTTCACATGGAAGGCGTAGCATTATTTAGAAGTTGTACACATAGATGCACACATATACATTCAACATTTAGCATCCCCGCACTATCTAAAACATGCTCTCACTCAGATACTGGTGTTTGCACACTCCTAGAATCACGCACCCACACTGAGATGCCTGCGTAGCTGCGCTTCCCGAGGATGTGATGCCATTAAGATCAATAGAACCACTCTATGGTATGAAGTGCTATCCAGTCTCAGTTCAGACCCAGCTATGACCGTTAAATATCTCCTAGGCCTTCTTGGCCAAAACTCAGTGGGTGTGTGTACACACCTTTACATGCACACAAACACATACAAACCCACAAACCTTCTTCATATGTCCAAACACTGATAAATGCAGGTGTGCACACACATGCTTTATCACAATACATGCATTCTATTGTCAAACCAATTATGGATACATGCACTTCGCACAAAATATACTGACACACATGCCATTGTAAAATAAAGAACAGGTATGTGCATATCATACAAACACCGTGTTCACATATTCCACTGTTAGGCCAAGGAGCTCATGTATAGTTAGTCTGGGCTTCTCAAAAGACCAACAGGACATCAAGGACTCCAGGGGGGAAAATCAGCAGCTGTGGTTCACCATCATACCAACCAACCTACATCCAAAATGGCAGAGGACACGAAGAGCATGTTTCATCCCCACACTTCCACGTCACAGGTACCTGCATAAGAATATAGTCCTGGTTGTCACCTACCTCCCAGGGTAGCAGAGATGAGGATGTGGGTGCCGTACTTTTTGATGATAGTATCAATGAACTGCTGCGTGGTGGGTCTCCTGCCCAGCAGGCGGATGCTCCTTTGAAATTCAGGCATCAGGGGCACTGGATTGCGGAGTAGGTCTCTCCGTTCAATGGCTGTGTTCCTCACCTTCCAACGGGCAAACTCCCTATGAGACAACACAGGAACACAATGGGGGTAAGGCTCTGAGTTTGGACAGGAGGGGAGGACCACTGAGGAAAGGGCAAGATGAGAGAAAAGAGGAAAATGATATAAGATGCCCTCAAATGGATACGCAGATGAAACTCAGAGGCTAGATCTAAGGGGAAGGAGAGGAGGAAGAGAAGAATCAAGATATTACTGCACAATACCACAGCACCTTAAGGACCAGGGTCTGAGCAACAGGTGGGCTAACCTTCACATATGCAATGCATAGGTAAATCTCAGATAAGCTTCCAGAACTATGCATGCCCTACCTCTGTAGAGGGTAGCTTATCCCAGAGTTGCCTAGTGCACTGTTCTTCCACGTTCCTCTAAAACAGGTGGTTTGGGGAACTGTCACAGCCAATACATTGGACTAGATAAGACTTGTGTCTGATTACTATGTTCCAATGTCTTTTTATTTCTGCAGCACACAAAGCCTGTAGTTCTGCCAAACAGGGTTCAGAAGAACAAGTTTTCACCAGTCCCTAAGGAGTGCAGATGAATGTGAACATAGAAAAACAGCACAGGAAAAATAAGAGCAACCTTTCCTGAACCTGCTGAAAAGATTGATTTTTGTCCTGGGTGAAAATGCAGGTTGTTTTCTTTGATCTTATGCAATGTGGGTCCTAAATTTCAACTCCGAACTAGGCAGCAAGTTGGAAAAATATAGGCTACATTTTTCAAAAGCATCTAGTGAATTTATGGTCTCACTTTGAGATACCTTGAAGGGAACTGTTTTAAGAAAGTCCTGAGCACATCCTCTCTAGAAACCAGGGTTCTTAAGACATTTCAAATTGGGCACCAAAAACTGCCATACAAAATCCTGACCATCTTCAGAAAAATCCTGACCGAGGCATCCCTAAGAGGGCAGCCAACACTGAAAACAATTTTCTTGCAATAAGCACGGTACTGTCTTCAGCAACTGCATGTCTAATCGAGTCTCAAGCCTCTGTTCCTTTTTATTTCTCCATTCCAGTAAATCAGATAAAACATGGTTTTTTAATAATGGCAATAACAATAGCCAGGGCTTACACAGAAATTTTCATCTGTGTGCATTGATAAACATGGGCAGCCTCAGTTTACAGGTGAAGAAAATGACACCCACAAAGATTTAGGGCACAGAAAAAAACAGTGGTAAAGCCAGCATCAGAACCATATCTCTTTGCTCCGTCTGGTTCTATATCCATTACATGTTGCTGCCTGTTAAATTATTTTAATTAATGTAATTATGCATGCATTTATTTTGATTGGATCCCTTCACCACTCACTAGGGTGCCTGATGGTACTAACATCAATCAAAACATCAACCTACCAACCTTTCATCTTAAAATTCCTGTTCCAGAACTAACTCTCACTCTTTACCCAACAGTTTGCAGAAGTCTAAGTAAAAGTAAAACCCAACCCTCCACTGTGCCATAAAACTCACTAAATTCTCATTTTAGGGTAACAGATCCCAAAATTAGGGGCTTTTCACCAAAAATACTCTGCCTCCAATCTCAAAGCGTTTTGCTCAGGAGTAAACAATGAGAACAAAGCAATGGTTCCTAATAGCCATGCAGGAACACACAGAGAGTTGAATTATTGGCTCCAAGACTCCTTGGCAGATCACAGTGAGCACCAAGAATTGCCTCCAGAAACAGACAGGTGCTCATTGAACACAGCTGGAAGTATGGGTGTCATTTGCTCATACAAGATGGATTGCAAAGCTAACGTGCGCAGGGCATATAACTTGAGATACAGGTGTGTTGTGCTGTAAATGTGAGACCTAATCTGAGCCTAGTAATTTCAATGAGCTTTGGATCAGCCCTTTCGAGTCTGTTCTACAGGTGCAATATGTTCTCCAACACTCTCAAGGCTTTCACAACACAAGGTCAGGTAGTTAAGCTGTCTGAGTCTTTTTCAAGGCTAGCCACGCATACAGAAACACTGGACAACTGGTCCTCAGCTAACGAAGTGAGGGAAGAGTGTTGAAAAGATCCCCTTACAGAGAAATAGCCTCATCTTTGGGGCCAGCCTATAGATGTTGCCATGACCAGATTAACCCCAGTGCTGCAAAACTCATCAGGAAATTCATCCTCAAAGGCATATCCATCCTTGAAGGGACACAGCCAAAACCCTCCCCTATATTAGGAGAGTGAAGAAAATCCTACTCCCCAATCCCATGGGCCTTTAGCTAACCACATGATCTATGGCAGCCATCTATAGTTCTCCCTCAAAGAACTATGGATAGGGAGAGGGGACAATGGCTCACACAGCAGTTACATTTCATCTCATTACTTATATTCTTGGTTTTAATTGTATCTCCAAAATTGTATCTCCAAAAGGCAACAAGCCTGGCAACAAGACCCAAGTTCTGGCTCTACATACGGATGGGATTTGCTGTCTTGTCTTTCCTTCGTACCTAACATGGTGAAGGAAGATGAATCATATATCTGACTCCTGTTTCGTACTGTGAACTACTCACACAAGCTGATCTCCTTTGGAAGGGACTGAGAGTTTTATCAGTCTCTCTGGAGATCTCACCATGTCCCTCTAGGGCAAGTCCTTTGTTTGTGCCAACAACAAGGATCCTGCTCCAAAGCAAATGCAGTAGAAAAACCCCTCTGCCAATATGTGCTTGGGATGAAGTTTAGAACCCCACAGACCAAAGCGAAGCAATGGCTGGGTTCCCGTAATGGCGACAAGCTGAATAATGAGGAGAAAAATGGTGCCCTGCTTTCACTGGTTTGGCAACTTAAGATAGGAAAGGGGTTATTATAAGTCCCAATGGCATGACAGTGAGGGCCCCAGGAGAACCCATGCTCTCATCCAAAATGACAGTGATCAAAGTATAGGAGGGTTGGCTCCAGTAGGAGAGTTGGCTCCAACTGATCATTTTGCATTTTATTCCTCCCCGGAGGCCTCAGATTCCAAAGTATCGCACTGGAAGTGAAAGCCATGTCTCTATTTGCCTCCCCACATGTCTCCATGCACGGCTTTCAAATGCTGATGAATAAAGCTGAACAAATACTTTACCATGAATAATTTATGCAACTAACTTAGATGTTTATCTTCAGCTCATAGAATATCCATGAGCCAGTTGCAATTTCCTCTAATTTATGCATTACTAGAATTTACTTGGTTATATGTCTCCAATTCTTCATTTTACTTGGTGTGGGATTTAGTATCTGCTTTTCAAGATCTGCTTAGTTGGGGTTGCTTATATAAGTCATATGATACTGCTTCTATTCATTGATGAGCAAGAATCAACACTTATATATCCACATTTAAAACTTGATTTCCTCAATGTCTGCACATATAACTTCATAATTGGCTTTCCATGAACATTTTTGTGCATTTCCCAGTCACCTCCCCATCTCATGAATAGTAGTACTTTTTATCCAATATGCGATGGGCTGGTGGAACTCATTGCCACAAGATACTAATGAGGGCAAGAGCTTGGCAGGATTCAGGAAAAGGATTTGCATTAGTACAGTTAATAAATACATCCAGATTTATTATAGCTATTCTACAAGACAATTGGTTTTGGTAGGCATATAAACCCTCCCATGTCAGGACTTTAGCCAGTCTTTGAGAATTAAAGGTTAAGAAAGAATTACTTTGAGAACAGGTTCTCTCTGAAATGCGTACAGCCGGATGGGAATAAGAAGAAATTATCCCCTTAGGTTTCAGAACGGGGAAAAGAAGCTGTTTACACAAGAATGTCTAGCCATACAAGACAGACCACATTAATGTGCAGGAAAAATGCCTACCAGGTCACAGGGAAGGAAATCTGCCTTAAATAATGTCTGATGAAAGGACTGAAGAGTCAACACTTTAATAGCCAGAAGAGGTAGGGGAAGTCTAGATTTTAATTCCTGACAGGGACATAGTGAGAAGAATTAGTAGAGAAGGACAGCCTACATGCTACAGCCTAGAGGAAAGCAGAAGCTCATGAGTTAGACCTTCTTCTCTGTCACAGTAACAGGATATATATAAAAATAATCTGTGAGTGATATATCTGTGGGAGGCTGCACCCCTTCTAAGGTATCACTAATGAGCAAGCCGTCAAAGCTGCGCATGTCAGAGAGATGGAGGGAGTCACTGGGGATGGAGGGAGTCACTGTCTCAATGCTCATTAGCGGTACCTTCCCCCATGGGAAACACAGAAGGGAAAATTGCTGAGGAGGGAGGGTGGGATGAAAGCACAGAACAGGGACTTTACTCAGAGCTCCCACTAAGTTGGTATGGAGGCTCAGAGAATCCAAGGGCATGTACACCTCGATCCAGGGATTGAAGGATTTAAAGAGGCTATCAGAGCAAATTAAATTCTCCATCTTCAAACTGCCAAGACTACCAAAAGATATCAGTGAAGAAACAAGTTCAGTACAGACCTCAGGGGCTGTTGCTTGAAACCAAAGAGAAATTAAATGCATTAAACAAGGAATGAAACAGTATGATAGGGGGGGAAAAGTAGGAAGATTCTGAGTGAAGGCCAGAAATGCCATGTTAACTAGGCCCTCACTGCTCTATTTTCCATCCACAGTGCATATTAGTGCTTATAGGTCCTGCAGTACAGCAACTGGATCCCAAGAATGACCTATGCGCCATGAACTGGAGTCTAAAGGGTAGAGTGACTCCTCTGGGGCTGCCCGAATAAAACCATTTATACTTGCCACGTCCTTTCTGGATCTTTAACTGCGCCATCCATTTTTAGATCTCAGCTTAGAAGCTATCACCTCCTCCGTGCTGCCCCCAGCCAATAGATCATCAGCCAGTAGATCATCAGTGCCTCCCCCATGACTCCCAAATATAACAAAGGACTATTAGTCATGACTCCTTGCCCCTCCACAAACTCCAACACACTCCATACCTAACATTTCCACGGCTTCCATTACTGACCGAGTGAGGCCAGTGCAATCTGGAGAATGAGACAACTGCCCTTCTTCAACAATCTTCTATTCTACAGAATTGTGGCTTGCTTTG